TGAACAACAATGTAAGGGTCACTTCCACACTGACCAACAATGTAAAAGTCACTTCTACACTGACCAACAATGTAAGTCACTTCTACACTGACAAACAATGTACGAGTCACTTCTACACTGATCAACAATGTAAGGGTCACTTCTACACTGATCAACAATGTAAGGGTCACTTCTACACTGACAAACCAATGTAAGGGTCACTTCTACACTGAACAACAATGTAAGAGTCACTTCTACACTGATCAACAATGTAAGAGTCACTTCTACACTGACCAACAATGTAAGAGTCACTTCTACACTGATCAACAATGTAAGGTGTCACTTCTACACTGACCAACAATGTAAGAGTCACTTCTACACTGATCAACAATGTAAGAGTCACTTCTACACTGACCAACAATGTAAGGAGTCACTTCTACACTGATCAACAAGGTAAGGGTCACTTCTACACTGATCAACAATGTAAGAGTCACTTCTACACTGATCAACAATGTAAGAGTCACTTCTACACTGACCAACAATGTAAGAGTCACTTCTACACTGACCAACAATGTAAGAGTCACTTCTACACTGATCAACAATGGTAAGGGTCACTTCAACACTGATCAACAATGTAAGGGTCACTTCAACACTGATCAACAATGTAAGGGCCACTTCTACACTGACCAACAATGTAAGGGTTACTTCTACACTGACCAACAATGTAAGAGTCACTTCTACACTGACCAATAATGTAAGGGCACTTCTACACTGACCAACACTAAAAGGGGGAATCACTTCTACACTGACCAACAATGTAAGAGTCACTTCTACACTGACCAACAATGTAAGGGTCACTTCTACACTGACCAACAATGTAAGGCTCACTTCAACACTGACCAACAATGTAAGAGTCACTTCAACACTGACCAACAATGTAAGGGTCACTTCAAAACACTGACCGACAATGTAAGGGTTCACTTCTACACTGACAACAATGAAAAAGTCACTTCTACACTGACCAACAATGTAAGGGTCATTCACACTGACCACAATGTAAGGGTCACTTCCACACTGACTAACAATGTAAAAGTCACTTCTACACTGACCAACAATGTACGCGTCACTTCTACACTGACCAACAATGTACGAGTCACTTCTACACTGATCAACAATGTAAAAGTCACTTCTACACTGACCAACAATGTAAGGGTCACTTCTACACTGACCAACAATGTAAGAGTCACTTCTACACTGATTAACAATGTAAGAGTCACTTCTACACTGACCAACAATGTAAGAGTCACTTCTACACTGATCAACAATGTAAGAGTCACTTCTACACTGACCAACAATGTAAGAGTCACTTCTACACTGATCAACAATGTAAGAGTCACTTCTACACTGACCAACAATGTACGAGTCACTTCTACACTGATCAACAATGTAAGAGTCACTTCTACACTGACCAACAATGTAAGAGTCACTTCTACACTGATCAACAATGTAAGAGTCACTTCTACACACCAACAATGTAAGAGTCACTTCTACACTGATCAACAATGTAAGAGTCACTTCTACACTGACCAACAATGTAAGAGTCACTTCTACACTGATCAACAAGGTAAGGGTCACTTCTACACTGATCAACAATGTAAGAGTCACTTCTACACTGACCAACAATGTACGAGTCACTTCTACACTGACCAACAATGTAAGAGTCACTTCTACACTGATCAACAAGTAAGGGTCACTTCAACACTGATCAACAATGTAAGGGTCACTTCAACACTGATCAACAATGTAAGGGCCACTTCTACACTGACCAACAATGTAAGGGTTACTTCTACACTGACCAACAATGTAAGAGTCACTTCTACACTGACCAATAATGTAAGGGCCACTTCTACACTGACCAACACTAAAAGGCTCACTTCTACACTGACCAACAATGTAAGAGTCACTTCTACACTGACCAACAATGTAAGGGTCACTTCTACACTGACCAACAAATGTAAGGCTCACTTCAACACTGACCAACAATGTAAGAGTCACTTCAACACTGACCAACAATGTAAGGGTCACTTCAAAACTGACCGACAATGTAAGGGTTCACTTCTACACTGACAACAATGAAAAAGTCACTTCTACACTGACCAACAATGTAAGGGTCACTTCAACACTGAACAACAATGTAAGGGTCACTTCCACACTGACTAACAATGTAAAAGTCACTTCTACACTGACCAACAATGTACGCGTCACTTCTACACTGACCAACAATGTACGAGTCACTTCTACACTGATCAACAATGTAAGGGTCACTTCTACACTGACCAACAATGTAAGGGTCACTTCTACACTGACCAACAATGTAAGAGTCACTTCTACACTGATTAACAATGTAAGAGTCACTTCTACACTGACCAACAATGTAAGAGTCACTTCTACACTGATCAACAATGTAAGAGTCACTTCTACACTGACCAACAATGTAAGAGTCACTTCTACACTGATCAACAATGTAAGAGTCACTTCTACACTGACCAACAATGTAAGAGTCACTTCTACACTGATCAACAATGTAAGAGTGACTTCTACACTGACCAACAATGTAAGAGTCACTTCTACACTGATCAACAATGTAAGAGAGTCACTTCTACACTGACCAAAAATGTAAGAGTCACTTCTACACTGATCAACAATGTAAGAGTCACTTCTACACTGACCAACAATGTAAGAGTCACTTCTACACTGACAACAATGTAAGAGTCACTTCTACACTGACCAACAATGTAAGAGTCACTTCTACACTGATTAACAATGTAAGAGTCACTTCTACACTGATCAACAAGTTAAGGGTCACTTCTACACTGACCAACAATGTAAGAGTCACTTCTACACTGACCAACAATGTACGAGTCCCTTCTACACTGACCAATAATGTAAGAGTCACTTCTACACTGATCAACAATGTAAGGGTCACTTCTACACTGACCAACAAATGTAAGGGTCACTTCTACACTGACCAACAATGTAAGAGTCACTTCTACACTGATTAACAAATGTAAGAGTCACTTCTACACTGACCAACAATGTAAGAGTCACTTCTTCTACACTGATCAACAATGTAAGAGTCACTTCTACACTGACCAACAATGTAAGAGTCACTTCTACACTGATCAACAATGTAAGAGTCACTTCTACACTCATCAACAATGTAAGAGTCACTTCTACACTGACCAACAATGTAAGAGTCACTTTTACACTGATCAACAATGTAAGAGTCACTTCTACACTGACCAACAATGTACGAGTCACTTCTACTCTGATCAACAATGTAAGAGTCACTTCTACACTGACCAACAATGTAAGAGTCACTTCTACACTGATCAACAATGTAAGAGTCACTTCTACACTGACCAACAATGTAAGAGTCACACTTCTACACTGACCAACAATGTAAGAGTCACTTCTACACTGACCAACAATGTAAGAGTCACTTCTACACTGATCAACAATGTAAGAGTCACTTCTACACTGACAACAATGTAAGAGTCACTTCTACACTGATCAACAATGTAAGGGTCACTTCTACACTGATCAACAATGTAAGAGTCACTTCTACACTGGCCAACAATGTACGAGTCACTTCTAATGATCAACAATGTAAGAGTCACTTCTACACTGACCAACAATGTAAGAGTCACTTCTACACTGACCAACAATGTAAGAGTCACTTCTACACTGACCAACAATGTAAGAGTCACTTCTACACTGACCAACAATGTAAGAGTCACTTCTACACTGATTAACAATGTAAGAGTCACTTCTACACTGATCAACAAGTAAGGGTCACTTCAACACTGACCAACAATGTAAGAGTCACTTCTACACTGACCAACAATGTACGAGTCCCTTCTACACTGACCAATAATGTACGAGTCACTTCTACACTGATCAACAATGTAAGGGTCACTTCTACACTGACCAACAATGTAAGGGTCACTTCTACACTGACCAACAATGTAAGAGTCACTTCTACACTGATTAACAATGTAAGAGTCACTTCTACACTGACCAACAATGTAAGAGTCACTTCTACACTGATCAACAATGTAAGAGTCACTTCTACACTGAATGTAAGAGTCACTTCTACACTGATCAACAATGTACGAGTCACTTTACACTGATCAACAATGTAAGAGTCACTTCTACACTGACAACAATGTACGAGTCACTTCTACACTGACAACAATGTAAGAGTCACTTCTACACTGACCAACAATGTAAGAGTCACTTCTACACTGATCAACAAT